TTCTTATGCCATATACAAGAATAAGCTCAAAATGGATTAAAGCCTTAAATGTAAGATCTGAAACCATAAAACTTCTAAAGAATATACAGGAAGTAAACTCTCAGACATTACCCTTAGTAATATTTTTACTGACATTATCTCCTCAGGCAAGGGAAACAAAAGAAAGAATAAACAAATGCCATTACATCAAACTAAAAAGTTTTTGCACAGCAAAGGACACCATTAACAAAATGAAGACATCCTACTGAATGTGAGAAGATTACCAATGATACATCTGATAAGGGGTTAATATTCAAAATTTACTTTAAAAAACCTCACACAACTGAACATCAAAAAAGAAACAATCCAGGCCAGCCGAGTGGCATGTTGGTTAGGACTTGGCTTGGGATGCCAGCTCTGGGCAGCAGGGCCCCGGTTCAGATCCCACATGAGGGCCAGTGACACTGTGCCCTCTACAGCTAAGATGGTGAACAACAGCTTGACCTGGAGCTGGGCTGCCATGAGTTGCTGGCGATGGCGTGGCCTGCAGTGGGGCTGGCCGGAAGCTGGCATCAGCTTTTGTGAGCTGATGTGAGCGGCCGACCAACGGCTGGCAAGCGACTGCCTCACCCGGGAAGAGCACCATGACAATACCAACATGGGACAGTGAAGCGACATCCTCCACAACTAGACTGAAGAACAAAAGGACAGAAACTTGTCTGTTCCCCTTCCCCGATTCCCCAACGCTGTTCCCCTCCCCCAAATCCCCAATAAAAAATCTTAAAAAAAAATCCAATTAAAAAATGGGCAGAGGACCTGAACAGATATCTATCCATAGAGGAAATACAGATGGCCAGCAGACATATGAAAAGATGCTCAATGTCACTAATCATCAGAGAAATGCAAATAAAAACCACAATGAAATACCACCTCATTCCTGTCAGAATGGTTATCATCAATAAATCAACAAACAGTTGGAGAGGATGTGGAGAAAAGGGAACCCTTGTGCACTGTTGGTGGGACTGCAAATTGGTGCAGTCACTGTGGAAAACAGTATGGAGGGTCCTCAAAAAATTAAAAAGAGAATTATCATATGACCCAGCAGTTCCATTCCTGGGTATTTATCCAAAGAAATCCAAAACAATAATTTGAAAAAAATATATGCACCACTATGTTTACTGCTGCGCTATTCACAATAGCCAAGATGGGAAACAATGAAATACCCATCCATAGAAGATTGGATAAAGAAATTTACACAATGGAATATTACTCTGCCATAAAAAAATTTAAAAAAGAAATCTTACCATTTACAACAACATGGATGGACCTAGAAGATATAATGTTAAGTGAAATAAGTCAGACTGAGAAAGACAAATACCATCTGACTTCACTTATATGTGGAATCTAAAGAACAGAATAAACAAACAAAACAGAAAAGGCTCATAGATACAAAGAAAAAACTCATGGTTACTAGATGGGAGAGGGTTGGGGGGTGGGTGAGAAAAGTGAAGGGATTAGGCAGTATAAATGGGCAGTCACAAAATAGTCATGGGGATATGAAATACAGTAAGGGGAATATAGTCAGTAATGTTGTAAAACTATGTACAGTGTCAGGTGGATACTAGACTTATTGGGGGGATCACTTCATAAATTATATAAATGCCTAACCACTATGCTGTATACCTGAAACTAATATAAAATAATATTTAGTGTCAACTATAACTAATATATATATATATACATATATATATATATATATATATATATATATATATATATATATATATATATATATATATATATNATATATATATATATATATATATATATATATATATATATATATATATATGTAGTCACGGGATGTAAAGTACAGCATAGGGAATATAGTCAAATGGTATTGTAATAGCTATGTACGATGTCAGAGGGGTAGTAGATTTGTTGGGGTTATCGCTTTGTGAAGGGTGTAAATATCTAATCATTACCTTGTTTTGTACACCTGAAACTAATTAAAAAATAAAAACAAACAAACAAGGCCTATCCAACTTCCTCTTCTTTAGTAACTCAATTGTGCAAACATCCCCCTTTAGTTTCTCCTTGGTGTGTGCCTGGAACCAATGAAGTCCTTTGTTGTTGGTTTATACAAAGTGCCTGGGATGGTAAAGTCAGTTAGAGGGGTCAGACTAAGTCAGGAGCTTTCACATTAACTAGAATGTGTGGGGGAACCACTGTGGGCTTTAAGCAAGACTTGTAGCTGTGGGAAAGATGAGTTTGAGGAGTCTGGGAGATCACTTAAGGGACTCCTTCAGCGATATAGAAAGATGACGAGTTTCTATACTAAGGAAATAGTTGTAGGTAAAGAGTAGAAATATTCTACTGGGTCTTCGGAAAAGTCATGACGCATGTTTGCAACAGATGGCACTAGTTCATTTTTGGAAGTACTAGAGTCATTCGCATCTACGTTATTGCTATGTCATTTGACAGCTGACAGTTCTAGCTTCATTTTAAACAAAAATTGAATGATTTAGTTGAGTTTTGAAGATTTTACAAATTGAAGATAGAAAACCAAACTGTGCATTTTTGCCATATTTTACTGTTTTACTTCCATAAAAGGGAAGAACATGTGTCAAGCTTGTGAAAAGTCGCATAAAGTTTACGGTGAAAATGCTGTACAAGAACGTCAGTGCCAACGATGGTTCACGAAATTCCGTGCTGGTGATTTTGATCTCAATGACGCTCCTTGGTCAGGGAGGCCCACCGAAGTTGATGACAACAAAATAAAGGCATTGATCGAGTCAAACCTGCGTTACACGACATGAGAAATTGCAGAAACATTGAAATCCATCATTCAAGCATTCACTATCACCTGAAGAAGCTGGGATACATAAGCAAGCTCGATATTTGGGCTCCGCATGAACTCAAAGAAGTTCATTTGACAGCACATATAAACATCTGCAATATGCTCATTAAACATGAGGAAGATGATCCTTTTTTAAAGTGACTGATAACTGGTGATGAGAAGTGGATTGTTTACAACAATGTGGTGTGCAAACAGTCTTGGTCCCAACGTGATGATTCACTTCAAACGACATTGAAAGCAGACATTCATCAGAGGAAGGTTATGCTCTCAGTGTGGTGGGATTTTACAGGTGTGTTTTTCGAGCTCCTACCAAGGGAACAAACAATCAATTCGAATGCGTACTGTCGACAATTGGACCGTGTGAACGAATCCATCATCCAGAAACATCGAGAGCTTGTTAATTGTAAAGGAGTTGTGTTCCATTGCGACAACGGAGACCACACACATGTTTGATCACCCGTCAAAAATTATTGGAGTTTAGATGGGATGTGTTGCCACACCCACCATATTCGCCTGACCTTGCGCCATCAGACTTCCACTTGTTTTGCTCTCTTCAAAAGTCCCTGCGTGGTATAACATTCAGTTCAGATGAGGCTGTAAATCAGCACCTTGTTCAGTTTTTTGCAAATCAAGACAGGACCTTCTATGAACGAGGAATTATGAAGCTCACTGAAAGATGGCAAAAGGTTATCAACAAAAACGGGCAATATATATCATTGATTGATCTTTGTTCTTCATATAAATAAGTGACCTTTGAAAAACATAGACAAAATAGGTCATGACTTTTCTGAAGACCCAATAGAACAATTTACATGATAAAATCCACAGGTCTCAGGGGTGGGCATGTTGGGGGAGGCAGGCGGGGAGAGTAGGTGGAGTGGAGGCTAACACTTAGGTCTTAGGCACATGCATACCATCAGCTGAGACAAAATAAAGGTTCCTCGACAAGAACCTAGAGAGGGAATCCCCAGTCACAGGGGTACAGCACAACTGTATAAGGTCCACTGCAGGTAACTGCTCACTTCCAGTACTTACCAGAGTTTGTGAATGACTTACTTTGTTTTCATTAATAAGGAGGGTGAAATGGAGATTATTATTTGAGACATACTCATTTACATTCCAATGCATGGTCTTATATGGGCAATAAGGGCTGAATTTATAGCCACTTGGTCAGACATTGTGGGTAACCCTGAGCCCATCTGTGCCAACACCGCAGTCCTATTGATAGGTTACTCATTGCCCAAAGTTACTCACATTCTTTTACGTTTCTTATACTGATCACTGTGCAACAAAACAACTCCATAACCAAAAATCTAAAACCACAACAGAAAAGCTTTTACATGGGGCTAATAGTGTTATGTCCCTGAACAATGGGGATATCCAGGAAGTATGCCATGCACATGAATGTCTACTATCCTGTATCTCAAAATGGACAACAGAGGAGAAGCCACTGCCCCACAGGGACATCTGAATGTGCCCCTCCATCTGCCTGTCTGAAGTGCTATCTCTTACTACCTATCAACTTGCCATTAGAGAACCACTGCCTAATCTAACAGGGTCTCTCACTTCTTATGGTCCATTATATCACCCACTGCCAGAGCACCTGCACAGGGACACCAAGTGGGAATTCCCAGGGGAGGTGGGAAGAGAGTGAATTATAAATGTTTTTAATAAAGAAAAGTACAGGGTCTGTTATTCAAGGCCAAGTGAGTGACTTTGTATGAAGTGGAGCGTTTGCATGGGTTAGTCCTGAGAGCTTAGGCTGGAAATGTTGATGAGGGGTTTTAATTTATCATGCAGGTAAAAGGACTTCTGGATTAAGATGGCAGAGAGTTAGGCCAGGTCATGTTTGTGAATTTAGCCAAGAGGACGAAAGTTAAGAAATTCCTCCCTGCTTGATACACATAAAGAACATCCTTTGGTTACTGGCTGCAGTGGTATTAATTTATGAAGTCCTCTTTTAAACTGAGATCTACTCATCCCTCAGTTTTGCGTTTCCTCCTTTCTAAATGTTTCAAGGTTGGGGAGTCTACTGGCAGTTGTGATTTCCTTGCAATCTTAGTTCAAGTTTTTCTTATCTATTTTGAAGAAATTGCTTCTTCTTGCCTTGAACCTTCAATTTTGCCCTGACATGCAATTGTCTTGGCATGTGATGACTTACCATAGAGCCACTCCTGGGAACTGCTAAAGTCCCTTCTTCATCCTGGGACCCATCTGAAAGCGTAGTACTGTTGAGAGAAGCATCATCTGGCTAAATGGAGAAATAAAGTACCATTCTTATTCAGGCAAATAACTGCTAATGTGTTCGTGTCTTCTACTATGTATATCTATTTAGATATGTGTGGCAATCTATGAAGTTACAGTCATACAGGGATCATAACTATGAGCCACCTAAATGCCCTGTGACACTGGCCTCTGTGGCAAACACCTTTATTGCGTGCCACAGACTCCATTTTCCTTAACAATATTTTTGTTTTTTTCCAGGGAGTTAGGTGTTAAACCAAAGAACTTGATGTCCAGGCTTTTGCAGCTAAGAGTGATCACGTGACAAGTGTGGCCAATGAGGTTTAAGTGTAATTTTACCAGGAATGCTTCAAGAAAAACCAGTGCTTTTCTGACCAAAAAGAACAAGTCACCTGATACATGCTCATGACAGCACATAGATGAATGCCTAGAGTTGCCAGGCATCTTGTACGAATAAAGATGTTGGCCACAGGAAGGATGGCACAGACAGAAAATCAATTGTGGATGGGTCCATGCTAAGGGGCATCATGTGGCCGCCCTTCAGGCTTGGACCACATCTCTTAATGAGAAGCAAAATAACTCCTAATTTTCTATTACATGCAGCCAAACACAAACTTAACTCATTTAATCTTACCTTTTGAATAGACCTTAAAACTATCTTTTGCAGTGATCAGAATTCAGTAGCAATAGTACCAAGGTGTTTTTCATTTATAAGACTGGAACGCAGAGATTTTTGCTTTAGTGTACAATGGCTTTACTGAAATTAAGGCATGAATATGCTTTCCTTTACTGAAAGAACCTTATTACAAAATTGAATATATTTGATACTTATGGAAACGTACACTAGCAGTTTAAAAAACTGTTATTCATCTTGCTTGACTGTATTTTCTAAATTTTCCATAGATGGTATGCATCACTTTATAAAATGAACAAGAAACTTCCTTAAGAAACAAACAAAACACAAGAACTAGTAAAATAGATTTAAGTGAATACGGTGAATTGAAAATCACTTATATCCCATCCCACCCCAAATCACCAGAAATGGTAGAAAACATATTTTTTAAAGGAACAGATTTTTAGCAGTACTGGAAAGCAGTAAAGAATTCTGTAGCAGATCAACTGATATAAATTTCTAGATGAAAAGCAAATGGAATTGATTTAGTAAAAGAAAAACCTCTACCTAAAAGCAGAATTTAAAAACCAAAATTTTAAATTTGAAAAGGAAACTTCTAGGGAAGGAAGAGAAGAAAAAGTAACATAGATTGTACAGAGTAGGAAAGGGCTACAAACAAATAGCTAAAAAATGTTTACAAAAGAGAAGCCAAGTAGACTTCTTTCTCCCCCTTAAATATGTAGACAGCCCCTAAATATAAGCCTAAAAAAATCCCAAAATGCAGTCTACATAAAATGAACTAACTCCCTCGGGGTTGGGTTGGTTCATAGTGGTCTAAGAGAGAGGGAACTTAGGAGGCCACAACAAAAGACATGGAGAAGAGACTGAAAAATAAAATCAGCTTTGACAGGAAGCAATGAATTAGTTCTTCACTCCCTTCATTGGTTTTGCATTTGGGGAGTGTTTACTAACCTACCTGCTCCCTCCATGCACCTCAAAGTTAGATATATTTCTCTCACTCACAAAATCACACAATCAACAATTTTGGCCTTTTGGGAAAATTGACCTACTCCAAAGCAGAGGAAACACACAGCAATTTCCTACACTAATCAATCATAAACTTATAACTCTGCAGAGAACTTTAAGGGCCTGGAGAACTGTAGTTGTACCTGAAAGTGTGCTAGTATCTTCTGCCTTCTAGAGCACTTTCTGTCCTACGTTTCCTTGGTGGAGTCTTTGGTGGATCATCTCACCACCGTCCTGCTGTGACAGGATTCTGACAGACAGGCTATAGGGAAGGGACTTGGGACCTGGACAGGAAACAACAACCAGGATCCAAGGGCTTGGTCAGAAGCTCTTCGTGCCCTAGAAGCAAAACCTAAAACCTGAGGATACTTGCTGCCATCGAAGGAGAGATGTGTGCTTCCCTGACCAGATGGTACACACACTCAGACAGACACTTCACTGTTTGCGTCACTTAATTGCTTCACGTCCCAAAAGCTAACATGTTCTCCACACAAGATGTTTACCTTTGGAAAATAACTGGAAAAAAATATTTATATCTTAGTTGATACTGAAAAAATATTTACATGGTATTCTGTTTTTGTTTTGCTTTTTCTTTATGAGCTTACAACAAGGACCAAGGTTTAGTTGACAGCATCTTCTACTTAGGAGATTATATATATATCCAAAAAATTCATTTTTGTTGTTTTTTCTGCCTGTAGATGCTTTTTTTTTTCTTTTTAAAGGATAGGATTTAGGTTTTTTTAAATTTACTATTAAATTAGTCCTTGCTGAGTTTAAGAGCTATGGGTGATGGGGCTGTTGGGTAGCTGTGTTTGCAACAATATGAATTATGTTGCATTTTTACCCAAGAGAAATGATATACAATCCTTTATATTACATGAATATTCATGGCAACATTATTCACAATAGCTTCAACCTGGAAACAATCCCAATGTCCATCAACAGGTGAATAGATATACCGATATGGTATATTTATGCAATGGAATATTAGTTATAAAAATGCTAAACTTCTAATACAAGCAACAAATGGATGAATCTAAAAATTATTAGGAGCAAAAGAAGCCAGATACAGAAGTGCATATTATGTTCATAATTCCACTTATATGAAAAATGAAACCAACCTAAAGCATTAGAAATCATGACAAGGCTTGTCTCTGCAGGAATGGGAGGACAATCAACTGTAAAGAGTCTGCGAGGAATTTCTGAGGTGATGGAAATGTTTTATATTTTAACTGAGTTAACTATTTTTATCTGAGGTTACATGGGGGCAAACATTTATTAAAACTAATTGAATTATATACCTAAACTGTATGCATTTATTTTTTCATAAATTATTCCACAATAAAAACATAGCAGAATAATTTGATTCCTTGAAAATAATGTAATTCTTACCTTCAGATTGATTTATAGGGCTTGTGCTGCTATGAACCAAGAACCTATAGCTATACTAATGGGTACATCAGAGAGAAAAAAAGTTGTTCTTGGGAAATACGAATAAATTTGCTAAAATTTACAAAAGGAGTGAGAGAAGCTAAGAAATAATACAATAATGGCCAAGAAAAAAATTAGTAATTTGGAACATAAACTTGAAGAAATTTAGAAAACAGAGCAAATAAATTAGCATGATAGAAAATTTAGGAGACATTGAAATCTAATTCAAGCAAAGCAACAATCATTTACTGTGTGCCCTAGAGAAGTGGGACATAGGCAATGGGGGGAGAGGGGGTAATTAAAGACATAATAGAAGACAATGCCCAGAAACTGAAGAAAGAAAACAGTTCTTAGATGGAAAGAGTTCACTAAGTAGTGACCAAGATGAATGAAATAAAGGGCAGATCCTTGTGAAATTTTCAGAGCTCTAGCAATAAATTCAAAATATAAAAAACAGTTGCAGAGAGGGTAAACAAAAATAACCTAAAAAGCTTATTTATAAAGGAATGAGACTCAGGCAACTAAAATAAGGAAAAAATAACAATATACTGAGTATAACAGTCACTCAATGAAAATTAGAGAAATTCTACTGTACACGTTTCCCAGGAGAATAAAAGTTTTCTGTTAATAACAGACAGTCAGTTGGCACATGTTCCTAACAGGAACATCACATGATATCCAGAGTTTCCTGACCATCTTGTAAGTATAAGGATTAAATCCACATACTAAGGTGGAAGCAGAAAAGGAAAAAGGTGGAAGTTCATGTTAAAGTTGGCACTACCTTGTACTGTAGTTGTGCTAGCCTTGGTCCAGCACCATTAGTTTCCTGTTTTGTGATTAAAACATACTCCTACTTGTTTAAATCAAGGCTCCTTAGATTTTCTTTTGTCTGCAGCAAACACAGATGTATCTGGTCATTTTTAACAGATGGTCTGATTGTATTTTGCAGTGAATCAATAGCAAGTGTAATTACTTAATTTCACTTAAGACATTGGAGAGAAACTAGATTGATTGCCTTTTGGGTAAACTAACACCTTAATTGAATAATTTGTTTATGTCAACTGCACACAAGGAAAATTTTTTACAAGTAGCGATTTGCAGTGTAGGGGTGCAATGATTGCAGATTGGATTGTAAGCCTTTTTGTAAATGCCCAGATTGTGTGGCATTTGGGATTCAGAATCAAGGAACAACCACATATACTACATGAAAAGGCTATTCCTTTATTGTAAGTAGCTTACTGCAAAAACCTGTTGGGTATTAATGAAATCATAAAATGTTATATGAACTTTCTTTTAAGAGGTTTATTGTGGTATAACTGACATACAATTAACTGCACAAATTTAAATAGTATAAAACATACAATTTGATAGGTTTTGACAAATATATAGACCTATGAAACCATCACCACAATCAAGACAATGAACAAAACCAGCACCCCCTCCCCAAAATGTCCTGGTGTCCCTTTTGTCATCTTCCCTTCCCTCCCCTCCTTGTCCACACCCAGGTCCCCAGGCAATCGCTAATCTTCTATCACTGTAGGTTAGTTTACATTTTTCTATAATTTTATATAAGTTGAATCTTTTCTTATTTGACTTTTTTGACATGGCATAATTATTTTGAGATCCCTCCAACTCCATTGTGCATATCCATAGTTTACTGTGTATCTCTGTTGTGTATATCAATACTTCATTGCTTATTTTCACTAGCATTCCATTGTATGGATTTACCACAATTTGTTCATCCATTTATCTGTAGAAAAAACTGGGTTGTTTCCAGTTTGGGAATATTATGCTATAAATATCTGTGGATACTCTTTGTGTGAATATATATAATCTATGAGTGAAATGGCTGGGTCTATGGTAGGTATATGATTAACATTTCAAGAAGCTGCCAAACTAGTTTCCAAAGTACATGGACCATTTTACATTCCCACCAGCAATGTATGAGAGTTTCAGTTGCTCTGCATCCCTAGCACCAGTTGGTATGGTCAGGTTTTTTGTTTTTTTTTTAAATTTTAGCTGTTTTACATGGAATATACAGATATTTCATTGTGGCTTTATTTTCATTTTCATAACCACTAATGATACTGAGCACCGTTTTATGTGCTTATTTCCCATTCATATTTCTTCTTTCATGAAGTGTCTGTTCAAATCTTTCGCCCATTTTAAAAGATGAGAAAAGGCTGAACAAAATTTTATCACTGGAAAACTCAGTGTATGTTTTGGAAAGAGCAAGTTGATTTGTTTTCAGAATTAGAGAATTTGTGTGGTTAAGTCAAGGGGACTCAAGGTTGGAAACACCAGCAGATTGTGGGTAATTTTTAATGTCAAAAGAAGGAGTTTGCTATAAACAATAGGGATTATATTCTAAGATAAAATGGAAGAGTTACCGTATTTCCCCATGTATAAGATGCACCCTTTTAAAAAAAATTTGGGGTCTAAAATCTGGGTGCATCTTATACAGTGGTTGTAGTTTTTTAACTTGCATTTCCCACTGAGGATGACGCAATATATGAAGACAGTGATTCGCCATCAGACACAGATGAGGACAAGCTAACGGTTGGGAGTTTTGACAGCGATGAGGAGTTGTATGAATTTTACGATGAATAAAACTTGAGTTCAATAACTTTATGTGATACATTTTTTTCAAATTTCGGGCCCCACAACTAAGGTGCGTCTTACACATGGGAGCGTCTTATGCATGGGGAAATACGGTATATCAAATGACCAATCAATCCTCTCTTTCCTAAAACCTAGTAGAGTCAATAAAACACAACCAAAAATTAGGAAAAAGAATCCCAGCAGTATTCACAGGAGTGATGGTTGGAGAGAGATATTCCAGGAATAGCATGAATTCTTTTCCAAAATCCATCTCCCTCCCCATCAAAACAGCACCAAAGAAGAAAAAAAATGGAGAAAATTTTGAAAAAGACAGCTACTATCTCCTCTTGATTATGAGGGAAAATGACTGAAGATGTGTGTAATCACACCTGTGTTCAATATATGCCTGCCCTTCAAAGTAAGTCTCTCCCCAGTACAATCTCGGCAGGGAGGATAGACCTTTTAGGATTCACCATTCTGCTTTTTCCTATCTGGAAGGAAGTTAGAAGAGGGACCATGCCATGATGATGGAAAAATAAGAGAGAAAATAGATTACATAAGCTCACGAAGGGAGAGAAAAGATAGCTTAGGATAGGAATGCAAGCAGAAACAAATGTGAGAAAAGGCTCTGGGATAAACCATAAGTAAAGCAACTGTTCATATTTGCAAATTGATAGAAGCTTGAACATTCTCCTGAGGCTTATCTGACTTTGTCCTCCTTTGGGTAAGTGGGGAGTAGAAGTGGCTCTGCACAAAGGCAGGGGATGGGGAAGAAAGAGGGGGGTTGGACGCCTAGCATGCAAAGTCCTGTCCACAGAAAGAGCCATATATTCACCATGCTCTGGGGGCAACAATAGGAAACCTAAGGACACTTGCTGATGCTCTTACAGGTAGATCTGTAATTCAACGGAACTAACAGTTCAATGACAATTTTTTTAAATAAAAGAAAAAATGTAAAGGAACTAGATCTGTCAAAAAGAAATGCCTATAATCATTGGTTTTTCTGGGTATGCATCTGTTTTTATAGAGCATGCAGTTATTTGTGGATTTAACTATTAAACTTGGGTTCATTTACTGCTGAATGTCTTCCCACAAATCAGTTAAAGGTAGATAGATAAGTATGTTGACAGCTGTGGTTGTACAGCCATCTAATTGTGTTGCATTGTTTTGAAGTTTTGTATAATTGTCTTGAAAAAAAAAAGGCTCTTCTTTCACCCCTACCCCCAGTTCTCCTGCTATAACTTACCAAGGAACCACTGGTTTTGATAACTCCTGGCACCTCTTTTTCCTCCTGGGTGCCATCCAACTGAGTAGTATGATTGTCACAGTTATCACCTGGCTAATGAGAGAATTGAAAGTCATTTTTATCCAGATATATCTGTCCCAACATGATGTTTATTCAATTATGCTTACACTAGAACCTGTAAAAATGTGCAGCCATGTGGAGATACACAGAGTTAATGACTACTGTTCAATGGTCACACCATTCACCAATTCATCCGTAATTATATTGATCCTCATAAATGTCATGCACTGTAATAGAAATTGGTCTCAAAAGCAGACACTGCTAAATACCTGCCAAAATCCACTTTTCTTCTCTTCTTTACTTATGAATATCATGATTTTGCTCCAAGATGCTCTCTGCCTAACTAAAAAGAGTGTGATCATGTGATGTTTATGTCCAATGAGACAAGAGCAGAATCATACTTGGTGAAGCATCCATAAAGGCTAATGTTTTCTTGTTAAAGTGGGATGGAATCAGTTGGCCAATGTTCCCTCCAGAACATGGACATGTGCCTGTGATGTGCAGACATCCTATAAGCATAAATATTTGCCTGTATGCTAAGGGGAGCAGAATGGAAAGATGAAGAAGATGGAAGATCTGTGCTAAGGGTATCAGCCGTACCATCCCTCAGACTTCTTATTTTGTAAGGAGAACAACTTCCAATTGTTTAAGTCATGCAGCTTACTGATAAAACAACGCTACTTTAACATTAGACTTCATGACTATATTTTGCAATGATTTATAAATCAATAGCAAGTATAGTCATTTTTTTCAATTATGAAATTGGAAATATATTAGATTATCTCACAAACACATATGACTAAAACAAATATTTCATTCTCATTCACAGAATACTGGAAAAGTTCTGGTTTTCATTGTGCAGGAAGTTTATTTGGAGACTTTTCTGATCATGATGGGCTGCATTGTAGGCCTCTTATATATGTTCTAAGATTTTAGTAGCATTTACAATACAATGGCATTTCCCAAAATAAGACACAAATATTCTATCCCTGATTAAAGTAACATTTTCCAAAATTAAACATAATGAATATTAATGAAATCATAAACTTTTACATGAGACCTTAGAAATTGTTGTCTTTCATCTTGCTTTCCTGTATTTTCCAACTTTCCCCCAAAGTGTATGCACTATAGTAATAATAATAAAAACACACACACACATCTATTTTGAAGTAGAAACAATGCTAAGGAGGCACTACAAGGAAACAGGTCAGGATGGAGGACTGAGGGTGCACCACTCCCAGTCACTACAATTAGAGAAAGTGGCACTGGAAACCAACAAAATGTTCTAGTAACAAATCAGAAATGTTAGAATTTCTTGAAAAATAAAAGGTAATTTATTTCATAACTGTAGAGAAATTGTTAGACTGAGAACAGCATAAGACAAACTTGCTGCCAAGGAAAGAACAGATGCAGGAAAAGCAAATAGACAAACGAACCACCAAGCTCAGAATGAAAATTATGAAGGGCAGTAGGGGCACCAGAGCAATGACCAGGATAACTTACTGTGAAGTGTTTTCTCAATGGAAGGGCCAGATACACATCCCAACATCCCCCTTTATATTAAACAGCAGCAAGTAGCTATGCATGAACACAAGAAAAGAACCCTGAATGAAGTGAACTACCTGTCTTGGTAAGATATCCAGGGTTGGGACCAAAAAAAGTCCTCAATATCAGGTTACTCCAGACCTCCACAAAATACATGAATAAGAGAATAAAAGGAAAACATCAGCTTTCTCTGGGCTAGAAAGTGGCATGAGGCATGATTTCGCTTCAAAGAAATGCTCTTCCTTTGGCATGAAGATGTGGTGTGTGTGTGTGTGTGTGTGTGTGTGCGCGCGCGCGCGCACGCACATGCATGCATGCATGTGTGTGTCAGGAGTGTCTGTGTGTGCACTCACACATGTGTACTATTAAACTAACTTCCATTCATGCACTGTTCTCGTACCTTACTGACTTACACAGGACCCAAAGTTTGTCCTCTTATTCAAGAGTCTTTTGGGAAAATATCTATATAATGGCAGGAAGTCATATAGCAATAGCATAACGTAAGTTGTTAATTAATCAATACAGTTCATTAATAAATCAATCACCAAGGATCCTCAGTCATTGGAGAAAATCAACATGAAAAAGTCAGCCATGGAGAAAATTCACACACTGAAAACGAAGTATAGTGATAAACACTCTGGGAGAAAGAGATAATTGAGGGAAGAGAAGGCAGCTTATAATGATTTAATAACTTTAGGGATTTGAGAGGCTATTGTGTCCATAACAGGAACTAACTATAACAGTAAAGAAGAGATCAGTAAAAAAAGAAGAGTTCTTAAATTTTAACAGCAGCTAAATTATAACTAGTCATGGCAAAAATTAGAATTAGGGATCAACAAAATGTTGTAGACAAAATCTACTAG